AGGAGTGAACTAACAGATTCGAGGAGTGAACTAACAGATTCGAGGAGTGAACTAACAGATTCGAGGAGTGAACTAACAGATTCGAGGAGTGAACTAACAGATTCGAGGAGTGAACTAACAGATTCGAGGAGTGAACTAACAGATTCGAGGAGTGAACTAACACTAAGATTCGAGGAGTGAACTAACAGATTCGAGGAGTGAACTAACACTAAGATTCGAGGAGTGAACTAACAGATTCGAGGAGTGAACTAACAGATTCGAGGAGTGAACTAACAGGTTCGAGGAGTGAACTAACACTAAGATTCGAGGAGTGAACTAACAGATTCGAGGAGTGAACTAACAGATTTGAGGAGTGAACTAACAGATTCGAGGAGTGAACTAACAGATTTGAAGAGTGAACTAACAGATTCGAGGAGTGAACTAACAGATTCGAGGAGTGAACTAACAGATTCGAGGAGTGAACTAACAGATTCGAGGAGTGAACTAACACTAAGATTCGAGGAGTGAACTAACACTAAGATTCGAGGAGTGAACTAACAGATTTGAAGAGTGAACTAACAGATTCGAGGAGTGAACTAACAGATTCGAGGAGTGAACTAACAGATTCGAGGAGTGAACTAACAGATTCGAGGAGTGAACTAACAGATTCGAGGAGTGAACTAACACTAAGATTCGAGGAGTGAACTAACACTAAGATTCGAGGAGTGAACTAACAGATTCGAGGAGTGAACTAACACTAAGATTCGAGGAGTGAACTAAAACTAAGATTCGAGGAGTGAACTAACAGATTCGAGGAGTGAACTAAAACTAAGATTCGAGGAGTGAACTAACAGATTCGAGGAGTGAACTAACAGATTCGAGGAGTGAACTAACAGATTCGAGGAGTGAATTAACAGATTCGAGGAGTGAACTAACACTAAGATTCGAGGAGTGAACTAACACTAAGATTCGAGGAGTGAACTAACAGATTCGAGGAGTGAACTAACAGATTCGAGGAGTGAACTAACAGATTCGAGGAGTGAACTAACAGATTCGAGGAGTGAACTAACAGATTCGAGGAGTGAACTAACAGATTCGAGGAGTGAACTAACACTAAGATTCGAGGAGTGAACTAAAACTAAGATTCGAGGAGTGAACTAACAGATTCGAGGAGTGAACTAAAACTAAGATTCGAGGTAGTGAACTAACAGATTCGAGGAGTGAATTAACACTAAGGTTCGAGGAGTGAACTAACACTAAGATTCGAGGAGGGAACTAACAAATTCGAGGAGTGAACTAACAGATTCGAGGAGTGAACTAACACTAAGATTCGAGGAGTGAATTAACACTAAGGTTCGAGGAGTGAACTAAAACTAAGATTCGAGGAGTGAACTAACAGATTCGAGGAGTGAACTAACTGATTCGAGGAGTGAACTAACACTAAGATTCGAGGAATGAACTAACAGATTCGAGGATTGAACTAACAGATTCGAGGAGTGAACTAACAGATTCGAGGAGTGAACTAACACTAAGATTCGAGGAGTGAACTAACAGATTCGAGGAGTGAACTAACAGATTCGAGGTGTGAACTAACAGATTCGAGGAGTGAACTAACACTAAGATTCGAGGAGTGAACTAACAGATTCGAGGAGTGAACTAACAGATTCGAGGAGTGAACTAACAGATTCGAGGAGTGAACTAACAGATTCGAGGAGTGAACTAACACTAAGATTCGAGGAGTGAACTAAAACTAAGATTCGAGGAGTGAACTAACAGATTCGAGGAGTGAACTAACAGATTCGAGGAGTGAACTAACAGATTCGAGGAGTGAACTAACAGATTCGAGGAGTGAACTAACAGATTCGAGGAGTGAACTAACAGATTCGAGGAGTGAACTAACAGATTCGAGGAGTGAACTAAAACTAAGATTCGAGGAGTGAACTAACACTAAGATTCGAGGAGTGAACTAACAGATTCGAGGAGTGAACTAACAGATTCGAGGAGTGAACTAACACTAAGATTCGAGGAGTGAACTAACAGATTCGAGGATTGAACTAACAGATTCGAGGAGTGAACTAACAGATTCGAGGAGTGAACTAACACTAAGATTCGAGGAGTGAACTAACACTAAGATTCGAGGAGTGAACTAAAACTAAGATTCGAGGAGTGAACTAACAGATTCGAGGAGTGAACTAACAGATTCGAGGAGTGAACTAACAGATTCGAGGAGTGAACTAACAGATTCGAGGAGTGAATTAACACTAAGGTTCGAGGAGTGAACTAACACTAAGATTCGAGGAGGGAACTAACAAATTCGAGGAGTGAACTAACAGATTCGAGGAGTGAACTAACACTAAGATTCGAGGAGTGAATTAACACTAAGGTTCGAGGAGTGAACTAAAACTAAGATTCGAGGAGTGAACTAACAGATTCGAGGAGTGAACTAACTGATTCGAGGAGTGAACTAACACTAAGATTCGAGGAATGAACTAACAGATTCGAGGATTGAACTAACAGATTCGAGGAGTGAACTAACAGATTCGAGGAGTGAACTAACAGATTCGAGGAGTGAACTAACTGATTCGAGGAGTGAACTAACAGATTCGAGGAGTGAACTAACTGATTCGAGGAGTGAACTAACACTAAGATTCGAGGAATGAACTAACAGATTCGAGGATTGAACTAACAGATTCGAGGAGTGAACTAACAGATTCGAGGAGTGAACTAACATTACCAATTTTTTCAAAGTTGGAGACCAGATTCGTGGGTCGAGAAAATAAAATAAAAAGAAAAAAGGAAATTGTTTAACTAATAAGCTTTTTTTTTTTAAATCAAACGGACATTTCGTTAGGGCATTGGGTGGTTAAGATGCCTCCTAATTCTAACAGTTGAAGGAGCAAAATCATTCTGAATCTACAGTTGTAATAAATAAAAACCTGCTAAATCTACAGTCATAATAAATAAAAACCTGCTGAATCTACAGTCATAATAAATAAAAACCTTCTGAATCTACAGTCATAATAAATAAAAACCTTCTGAATCTGACAGTCGTAATAACTAAAAAACCTGCTGAATCTGAATAAATGAAAATGTTCCTATTTTGACATTCTTAAAAAACCAAATTTTTAAACTCAGCTTCTAACTAGAAAATTTGGTAATTTATTTTTAAACATTAGACGTTAAAAATCGACTCACATTTTCATCGAATTCAAACGGAAATGCATCGAAGTAATAAACATGCATGTGTTTATTGGTGGAGTCCATAGCCAATTGAAAACATCCAAACTTTACTTGATCCACAGAGTACAGTTTGATCGACGTGCTTCGAATTTCTAAGTTGTAAATAACATACTCTCCCACGGTTTCCGACGGCTCCCTGAAAAGGATAGAATAACACGTGACAGGAAAACGCGTGACAGGAAAACACGTGTCAGGAAAACACGTGACAGGAAAACACGTGTCAGGAAAACACGTGACAGGAAAACACGTGACAGGAAAACACGTGACAGGAAAACACGTGACAGGAAAACACGTAGGAAAACACGTAGGAAAACACGTGACAGGAAAACACGTGACAGGAAAACACGTGACAGGAAAACGCGTGACAGGAAAACACGTGACAGGAAAACACGTGACAGGAAAACACGTGACAGGAAAACACGTGACAGGAAAACACGTGACAGAAAAACACGTGACAGGAAAACACGTGACAGAAAAACACGTGACAGGAAAACACGTGACAGGAAAACACGTGACAGGAAAACGCGTGACAGGAAAACGCGTGACAGGAAAACGCATGACAGGAAAACACGTGACAGGAAAACACGTGACAGGAAAACACGTAGGAAAACACGTGACAGGAAAACACGTAGGAAAACACGTGACAGGAAAACATGTGACAGGAAAACACGTGACAGGAAAACACGTGTCAGGAAAACACGTGACAGGAAAACACGTGACAGGAAAACACGTAGGAAAACACGTGACAGGAAAACACGTAGGAAAACACGTAGGAAAACACGTGACAGGAAAACACGTGACAGGAAAACACGTGACAGGAAAACACGTAGGAAAACACGTGACAGGAAAACACGTGACAGGAAAACAGCAGGAAAACTTGTGGTAGAAAAACACGTGAAAGGAAAACACGCAGGAAAACGTGTGGTAGAAAAACACGTGAAAGGAAAATGTTAGCAAACAAAAAATCCTAAGAAAACATATCATACGAAAGCACGTAAGAGGAAAACACCAGATCTCAGGGACTAAACAGTGTTTAGCCTGCGAGGTGAAACTTGTGGGTGGTGCGACACTGCAGGGTTTAACCAGGGTTCGCGTGACGTTTTCCGCATGTGCGAAGTGAGCGAAGAGGTGGTTGGGTGTCTCTCTCAAAAACACATACAAAACAAAAGCACATGTATGCACATACAGAAACATATTTTACATTCTTTCATCCACGCATTCGAAAATGGTGTCATTCGTTATAAGTTATATATCAACTCGTCCGTTTCTTCAATTGTTCAATATTTTAGTGGTTAAACGTTGATTTTTTTAAAAAAATCCTTTACTCATTCATTTATATATATATATATATATATATATATATATATATATATATATATATATATATATATATATATATATATATATATATATATATATATATATATATATATATATATATATATATTTATATATATATATATATATATATATATATATATATATATATATATATATAGATTTGGCATTCGTTCATTTGGTATTTTGTTTATTAATTCATTTTTGCAATGTTTCATTTGTTCCTTTTAATTTCCTTTCATTAAATTTAGATTACAGTATGCAAGTGTGGTATTAAGTATATATTCGTGATTGTATATTCGTGTTTGCGTATTCGCGTAACTGTTTAAAGGATCTTGTTTGTTCTTTGACGTGTGTTTTTAAACTGGTGAAAATTGTGGATTTTACCTTTTCCCATAGATTCTTGAATGTATGAAACACCGATCAAATGTTGAGATACTTACGGAGTCACCAAAGCTCTCCCGTCCAAATTTATCTTCCCGGAGTCGACTTTCTTGTGTATCAGGGTGATGAGATTCTTGGCCCAGTTAGGCAACCCAAATGGAACTCTGAAAGACATCTCAAAATCCAGTTGTCCTTTTATAGACGTTCTTATATACAGTATCTGACCGTCTTCTATGGTGATCAATGTTCAATTGGCATAAATATATCTTGGATATGTGCTTGTGTTTTTGAGAATTTTGTTTGTTTGTCTGGTATAACGTTTGCGTGGTTGTGTGTGATTATCTGTGTTTGAGTGTGGTTGTGTGTGTTTAAGTGTGGTTGTCTGTGTTTGAGTGTGGTTGTGTGCGGTTGTGTGTGTGTTTAAGTGTGTTTGCGTGTGTTTGAGTGTGGTTGTGTGCGGTTGTGTGTGTTTAAGTGTGGTTGTCTGTGTTTGTGTGTGGTTGTGTGTTTGAGTGTGGTTATGTGTGTTTGAGTGTGTTTGTGTGTGTTTGAGTGTGGTTGTGTGCGGTTGTGTGTGTTTAAGTGTGTTTGCGTGTGTTTGAGTGTGGTTATGTGCGGTTGTGTGTGTTTAAGTGGTATTGTCTGTGTTTGTGTGTGGTTGTGCGTTTGAGTGGGGTTGTGTGTGTTTGAGTGTGTTTGTGTGTGTTTGAGTGTGGTTGTGTGCGGTTGTGTGTGTTTAAGTGTGGTTGTGTGTGTTTGAGTGTCGATGTAAACCCTAGCTAAGCCTAGTGATCATTAGACCTGACTATTAGCAATGCTAAATACGTGCTGTCACTAGCTAGCGCAAGCTGATTATTGCATGCAATTCTTTGCCTTTTGATTTGATTATTGCTTGTAATACTTTGTCCTGTGATTATTGCATGTAATACTTTCTCCTGTGATTTCATTATTACATGTAATACTTTGTCCTTTGATTTGATTATTGCATGTAATATTTTGCCCTGTCCGCGACTTAGTTTCACTTTGTTACTGTCGATTATCACATTTATTTAATATATCCCCGCTAGAGAAGTAGCTCAGACCCTCTTACCAGTTTAATTACATAATTACCGATTATTACACATTCTACTGCCCTAGTATCGAGTCCACGGAACAGTATAGTACATATCAGTGATAAAATATGTTCTATTACTTAATATATTACAGGTAGGTAATGGCCACGCAGAATATCGATACCATTAGAAACAAACCATATTGTTTGAATAGATTTGTGATTATCATCTGCACTGAGGCAGAACTATCTAACTTCTGATGACAATTGTGACACCTACATACGACTACTATACCTACATTTAAAAGAGTAGTGCCATCTTTAGACTGCAATACCTACATGTAAAACTGTAACGCCTACATACGACTACTATACCTACATTTAAAAGAGTAGTGCCATCTTTAGACTACAATACCTACATGTAAAACTGTAACACCTACATACGAATACTATACCTACATTTAAAAGAGTAGTGCCATCTTTAGACTACAATAAATACATATAAAATTGTAACACCTACATTAGACTACAATACTTACATATAAAACTGCAAGACCACCATAAGACTACAATCCCTACATCTAAAAGTGTAATACCTACATTAGAATGTAGCTAGTTTTGAAGCGTTCTAGCGGCACCATATTCGAGAGTTGATCATCAGATTGTGAGGCGAAGATGACGATAACATCCTTTTCACTGACGATTGCCAGGGCTGACTTTTCAATCTACATGACATGGAGATGTCAGTCGTCACACATGTCAGCGTGACCCGGTCAGTATATGTCATTTAATATACATGTCATTTAACATACATGTCAGAGAAACATTCGTTGTATTGAAATAAAACTTACAAATATCATGCGATACCCACACCCGAGGTATGTTTCTAGGATAAGATATTGTGTCTGAGTTCATGAAATTACATCTCGTTAACCACATCTTAGAGGAAGCCAATTAGAAACTGGTCATGTATTCAAATGAAACCTCAAACAGAGGCGTAGCGAGGGGGGGGCGGGCGTGGGAGGACATATGTCCCCGGGCGCCGACCTTAGGGGGCGCCAAAATGGGGTGGAGAAGCAAATCGAAAGTTCGAGGGGGTGCACATCTAAAGTAAGGGGTGGGGGGGTGCAAATAAAAGTTCGAGGGGGGTGCAAGTCGAAAGTTTGACGGGGGGGGTGCAAATCGAAAGTTCGAGGGGGTGTGCAAATGGAAAGTTTGAGGGGGTGCAAATCGAAAGTTTGACGGGGGGGGGGGGTGCAAATCGAAAGTTCGAGGGGGTGTGCAAATGGAAAGTTTGAGGGGGGGGGGAGGGTGCAAATCGAAAGTTCGAGGGGGTGCAAATCGAAAGTTTGACGGGGGGGGGGGGTACAAATCGAAATTCGAGGGGGGGGTGCAAAGTTTGTCCCCGGTCGCCGGAAAGGGTCGCTACGCCTCTGACCTCAAACGTCTAGTTAACGATAAAAAACCAATGTGACTAACCTTCACCTCGTGGCGATTCCCAATCTCGTGCAGTATGACGGGCTCTCCTTTCCCTTTGGTCACGATGTCCAGTTTGGTTTCAAGTTCCTGCGAGACGATGTAGTACTTTCCCCCGCCGGCGTTCTGACCAAATCGGTACGTAAGATACTTCTTGCCAGATAGTTTATCTGGGACTGCATGCTCTGCGAGGGAAGGTCACGTGTGCATGTCGGTAACAGGACAAACTCTTCAAAAATCTTTCTTACCTCCTCGTTAGTTTATACGTAGGTAATGCAGAGTTACTTTTAATTAATTTGCAATTTAGTTTTCATGATTTAGTTTTAAGTCTGAAAATCTTCACTTATTTTTTTAAATTTAAAAATGTTAAAGTTTTTCTTTTTTTTTTTGTAAACTTTATCCAAGTGATAAAGTTGTTTATAAAATGTATCAACTTATTTTGTATTAGACTAAACTGTGCAGCCTGCTGTTAACATTTGAGGTCTAGATCAGTCAGTCTCTATCAGACAGAAAAAAAGTCTACCAATCAGTAGCTTCCGCTTTAAAAGTTAGGAACGAACTCGGCATTTTTAAAAATGTTACTAAACTACAGCTCACAGTGGTAGAGATTCTTCCAGGCATCTCTTCGGGAAAGTCTACCTCCCCCCCCCCCTCCCGAACGAGATGGAATTTATATAGTAAACATATACTTTTACTAGTGTCCGCCCCCCCCCCCCCCCCGAAAATATCTAGTGCCTCCACACCCCCCCCCCCCCCCGCCCCCACGGAGAAAAAAAGTCTGCAAGAAACATTGAGAACTAGATCCCCTAAACTACAGCCCACAGTTAAAAAAATAAACTGTAAACAGATCTTCTAAATTAATTTACTCGTTAAAACAAACTGGGAAACCAAATATAACACTTTCCTGTTTAAAAATTCTTTAGGAATGGATTAAGCAAGTCACAACTCCCCGTTAAAAAATCAGCTGTTTACCTGAAGAGTACTGCTTTGGTGGTCTGGTTAGGTACATCACACCGAATTTATCTGCTGCCTCTAACACGGCACCTACACCAGTGAGTACACATCAACAACACGAGGCTTAGCACACAGTTATTTGACTCGTAAGTCAATGAGTTAACAGGTTTTAAACGATCCTTTCTGGCGGTAAACAGAGGGGGGAAGAGGATGGCAGGAAAAGATAAAGAGATATACAGAGAAAAATTGGAGAGACGGAGAGAGAGAAAGACGAATATATAAAGAAAACTAAGAGAAATGAGGAACCGAGTTAGAGGAGAGAAAGGGAGAAAGGAAAGAGAGATGGTGTAATGTTGTTGGGCGGGATGTGGGTTGTGCTCATGTGTGTAGGTAAGCCGTAGCCTGGCCAATGCAGTTTGGGGTGTTACTTAAATAATGCTTTCTTATGGAAAGGTAAAGAAGGCTATCCATAGTACTGTTCACAATTTTTTTTTCAAGGTCGAGGTCACAGAACTCTACTTCATCTACCACACGGCCCGGCAAAAGGGAAATTTACTTTTACTTTCTTATATAAGAGGGATGGCGTTTATGCTAGACTGCTGACCCGGAAGTCCCCAGTTCGAATCCAGGTTCAGGTCAGTTGAACGTCCCTGAGTCCGTCCAGCTCTAATCGGTACCCAACTCACGTAAGGGAAAGTAGTGGATGCATCATACTGACCAAATTATCCTCTTATATGCCGATGTCACAGAAACAGGTGAACTCTACTTCACTTGTTCCTTGGACAATCAGTTGGAAAGGTAACTTAACATTTTAGCCTACTTGTTTTTAGATAGGAAGAGCTACAGTGAGAAAAACAGATAAATAAAACGGGGAAAGATGGAGATTTAGGGAGAGAGAGAGAGAGAGAGAGAGAGAGAGAGAGAGAGAGAGAGTTAGAGACTCATGAAAATGATCCAAGGATTCCTTACGTACCTTGGCAGGGCAATGTAGCGTGATAGTTGCCGTACAGTGGTATCAGGAGATGGTTGTACCTGTTGGTGGTTATAACACTCATTTTGTGCTCTCTTATAACAGTCATTAGGTGCTCTCTTATAACACACATTGGGTGCTCTCTTAAAACACTCATTGGGTGCTCTCTTATAACACTCATTGGGTGCTCTCTTATAACACTCATTGGGTGCTCTCTTATAACACTCATTGGGTGCTCTCTTATAACAGTCATTAGGTGCTCTCTTATAACACACATTGGGTGCTCTCTTATAACACTCATTGGGTGCTCTCTTATAACACTCATTGGGTGCTCTCTTATAACACTCATTGGGTGCTCTCTTATAATAGTCATTTTGTGCTCTCTTATAACACTCATTGGGTGCTCTCTTATAACACACATTGGGTGTTCTCTTATAACACTCATTTTGTGCTCTCTTATAACACTCATTAGGTGCTCTCTTATAACACACATTGGGTGTTCTCTTATAACACACATTGGGTGTTCTCTTATAACACTCATTGGGTGCTCTCTTATATAACTCATTGGGTGTTCTCTTATAACACTCATTGGGTGTTCTCTTATAACACTCATTGTGTGCTCTCTTATAACACTCATTTTGTGCTCTCTTATAACACTCATTGGGTGCTCTCTTATAACACTCATTGGGTGCTCTCTTATAACACTCATTGGGTGCTCTCTTATAACACTCATTTTGTGCTCTCTTATAACACTCATTGGGTGCTCTCTTATAACACTCATTGGGTGCTCTCTTATAACACTCATTGGGTGCTCTCTTATAACACTCATTGTGTGCTCTCTTATAATACTCATTGGGTGCTCTCTTATAACACTCATTGGGTGCTCTCTTATAACACTTATTGGTGCTATCTTATAACACTCATTTTGTGCTCTCTTATAACACTCATTGGGTGCTCTCTTATAACACTCATTGGGTGCTCTCTTATAACACTCATTGGGTGCTCTCTTATAACACTCATTGGGTGCTCTCTTATAACACTCATTGGGTGCTCTCTTATAACACTTATTGGTGCTATCTTATAACACTCATTTTGTGCTCTCTTATAACACTCATTGGGTGCTCTCTTATAACACTCATTGGGTGCTCTCTTATAACACTTATTGGTTCTCTCTTATAACACTCATTGGGTGCTCTCTTATAACACTCATTGGGTGCTCTCTTATAACACTCATTGGGTGCTCTCTTATAACACTCATTGGGTGCTCTCTTATAACACTCATTGGGTGCTCTCTTATAACAGTCATTTGGTGCTCTCTTATAACACACATTGGGTGCTCTCTTATAACACACATTGATTCTCTCTTATAACACTCATTGGGTGCTCTCTTATATAAGTCATTGGGTACTCTCTTATAACACTCATTGGTTGCTCTCTTATAACACTCATTGGGTGCTCTCTTATAACACTTTTTTTGTGCTCTCTTATAACACTCATTGGGTGCTCTCTTATAACACTCATTGGGTGCTCTCTTATAACACTCATTGGGTGCTCTCTTATAACACTCATTGGGTGCTCTCTTATAACACTCATTGGGTGCTCTCTTATAACACTCATTGGGTGCTCTCTTATAACACACATTGGGTGCTCTCTTATAACACTCATTTTGTGCTCTCTTATAACACTCATTGGGTGCTCTCTTATAACACTCATTGGGTGCTGTCTTATAACACTCATTGGTTCTCTCTTATAACACTCATTGTGTGCTCTCTTATATAAGTCATTGGGTACTCTCTTATAACACTCATTGGGTGCTCTCTTATAACACTCATTGGGTGCTCTCTTATAACACTCATTGGGTGCTCTCTTATAATACTTATTGGTGCTATCTTATAACACTCATTTTGTGCTCTCTTATAACACTCATTGGGTGCTCTCTTATAACACTCATTTTGTATTTCTTATAACACTCATTGGTTCTCTCTTATAACACTCATTTTGTGCTCTCTTATAACACTCATTGGGTGCTCTCTTATAACACTCATTTTGTGTTCTCTTATAACACTCATTGGTTCTCTCTTATAACACTCATTTTGTGCTCTCTTATAACACTCATTGGGTGCTTTCTTATAACACTCATTGGGTGCTCTCTTATAACACTCATTGGGTGCTCTCTTATAACACTCATTGGGTGCTCTCTTATAACACTCATTGGGTGTTCTCTTATAACACTCATTGGGTGCTCTCTTATAACACTCATTGGATGCTCTCTTATAACACTCATTGGGTGCTCTCTTATAACACTCATTGGGTGCTCTCTTATAACACTCATTGGGTGCTCTCTTATAACACTTATTGGTGCTCTCTTATAACACTCATTTTGTGCTCTCTTATAACACTCATTGGTTCTCTCTTATAACACTCATTGTGTGCTCTCTTATAATACTCATTGGGCGCTCTCTTATAACACTCATTGGGTGCTCTCTTATAACACTCATTGGTTCTCTCTTATAACACTCATTGTGTGCTCTCTTATAACACTCATTGGGTGCTCTCTTATAACACTCATTGGGTGTTCTCTTATAACACGCATTGGGTGCTCTCTTATAACACTCATTGGGTGCTCTCTTATAACACTCATTGGGTGTTCTCTTATAACACACATTGGGTGCTCTCTTATAACACTCATTGGTTCTCTCTTATAACACTCATTTTGTGTTCTCGTATAACACTCATTGGGTGCTCTCTTATAACACTCATTGGTTTTCTCTTATAACACTCATTGGGTGCTCTCTTATAACACTCATTGGGTGCTCTCTTATAACACTCATTGGTTTTCTCTTATAACACTCATTGGGTGCTCTCTTATAACACTCATTTTGTGCTCTCTTATAACACTTATTGGGTGCTCTCTCTTATAACACTCATTGGGTGCTCTCTTATAACACTCATTGGGTGTTCTCTTATAACACTCATTGGTTCTCTCTTATAACACTCATTTTGTGTTCTCGTATAACACTCATTGGGTGCTCTATTATAACACACATTGGGTGCTCTCTTATAACACTCATTTTGTGCTCTCTTATAACACTCATTGGGTGCTCTCTTATAACACTCATTGGGTGCTCTCTTATAACACTCATTGGGTGCTCTCTTATAACACACATTGGGTGCTCTCTTATAACACTCATTTTGTGCTCTCTTATAACACTCATTGGGTGCTCTCTTATAACACTCATTGGGTGCTCTCTTATAACACTCATTGGTTCTCTCTTATAACACTCATTGGGTGCTCTCTTATATAAGTCATTGGGTACTCTCTTATAACACTCATTGTGTGCTCTCTTATAATACTCATTGGGCGCTCTCTTATAACACTCATTGTGTGCTCTCTTATAACACTCATTGGGTGCTCTCTTATAACACTCATTGGGTGTTCTCTTATAACACTCATTGGGTGCTCTCTTATAACACTTATTGGGTGCTCTCTCTTATAACACTCATTGGGTGTTCTCTTATAACACACATTGGGTGCTCTCTTATAACACTCATTGGTTCTCTCTTATAACACTCATTTTGTGTTCTCGTATAACACTCATTGGGTGCTCTCTTATAACACTCATTGGTTTTCTCTTATAACACTCATTGGGTGCTCTCTTATAACACTTATTGGGTGCTCTCTTATAACACTCATTGGTTTTCTCTTATAACACTCATTGGGTGCTCTCTTATAACACTCATTTTGTGCTCTCTTATAACACTCATTGGGTGCTCTCTTATAACACTCATTGGGTGCTCTCTTATAACACTCATTTTGTGCTCTCTTATAACACTTATTGGGTGCTCTCTCTTATAACACTCATTGGGTGCTCTCTTATAACACTCATTGGGTGTTCTCTTATAACACTCATTGGTTCTCTCTTATAACACTCATTTTGTGTTCTCGTATAACACTCATTGGGTGCTCTATTATAACACTCATTGGGTGCTCTCTTATAACACTCATTGGGTGCTCTCTTATAACACTCATTTTGTGCTCTCTTATAACACTCATTGGGTGCTCTCTTATAACACTCATTGGGTGCTCTCTTATAACACTCATTGGGTGCTCTCTTATAACACTCATTGGTTCTCTCTTATAACACTCATTGGTTCTCTCTTATAACACTCATTGGTTTTCTCTTATAACACTCATTGGGTGCTCTCTTATAACACTCATTTTGTGCTCTCTTATAACACTTATTGGGTGCTCTCTCTTATAACACTCATTGTGTGCTCTCTTATAACACTCATTGGGTGCTCTCTTATAACACTCATTGGGTGCTCTCTTATAGCAGTGTATTGTACTGAAAAATCAGACCCAAGTGTCATTTGAGCAATAGTACGCAATATTTTGTTTGTCAGACCAATGTTTGCTTGCTATCACAACATTTTCAGTTCCCAACTTTAAAAAAAAAACATTTACCTAATCGCGGTCCTTAAAATTAAGAACAAAATTTCTGTTGAAAAAATGGCCGATTTCTCTTTTCATGCTGTAGGAATTATTGAAATGACTATTTTTCTTTAACAAATATTTAAATGACCATTTTCTTTGTTACTGATGCAAAAAAATTTTCTTCTTCTCTTTGCGTTTGAAAGTTTGATTCTATAACAGCCGTTGAAATTATTATTTTTCGCGCTAGTTTTATAGTCATTTTTCTAAGACGTGGGATCATACTGTGCTGTGTTTTAGGCACGACTCCTGGGGTTAGGGGTGGGGGTATACCTTCTCTCGCGCTCCTTCCCCCCCCCCCTACCTCCCTTACTTGAGAGAAGTAAATATTGGAAATATATAGGCTATAAACTTGTGTCCTTCCCTTTCTGGAAGTCTCATGTACACGTTGAAGGTTTGAACCCGACCGCAACATTTGAAGCGGAGTGTTCTAAGCGGGCTGTATATAAAACGAGATATAATACTTGCTCGAGTTTAACAAAAGTTTGATGGTTGCCAAACTATTTCCGACACTTTTATTTACCATCAATTATATTACAAAGATCATGGCAATGTTAAAACAATACTAGAATATGCTTTCAACGGCATTAAAAAATGAGATAAACCTAATTTACTTAATCAAAGATAAGCATTGTGTGAAAAAATGTGTAGATTTCACGAGCGACTTAACATGTCCGGATTTGTTAAAAAGTAAAATGCAACGTTGTACCCACGTCTTCAATATGACTTCTGTAGTCAGCTTGGTATACTCAATCGAATCGTTATTGGCGTAGTGTCTCTCGATTTTTAAGGTCAGGTGCTTGATTGTTAGCACTAGCACTGAAGGTTTTCCACTGAAATGAGTGCCACAATACAATGTGTAAAAAAATTATCCAATAGAAAACTCAGATTGCATTCCTTAAAATACATGGCTAAATATTTATTGTATTTATTAATTCATATTTAAAAATAAATTAATTTGTGTTGTGAGGTAGTGTTCTTTAATTCGATTATACGTTTGATTCGATATTTGTATGTATTTATTCATTGATTCATTTTATATGTACACACACATATATGTATATAAAGTATATATATATATATATATATGTATATATATATATGTTTATATATATACATACGTATATATATATATATATATATATATATATATATATATATATATATATATATATATATATAAATGTACCAACTTGGGAACAGAACAAAACTAAACACACAGCGCAAACACAAACACAAATGAAAACATAAATACAACACAAATACAAACACAGAAGAAAAGGCAAACACAATGCAAATACTTACACAAGGGCGATGACTGTGTACATATGACCCCAGTCGGTGTAGAAGAGGGGCCGCACTACGTCACGTATCTTGTCGTTCGTCAACAAGACCAGCACCATATGGAAAGCGGTGTCTGATTTAAAGCACACTGTAAAGTAGTCTGTTTGCTCGAATATGTCGCTAAAGTAAGAGAAAACACGACATTGTCTGATTTAAAGCACACTGTAAAGTAGTCTGTTTGCTCGAATATGTCACTAAAGTAAGAGAAAACACGACATAGTCATATGTAAAGCACACTGTAAAGTAGTCTGTTTGCTCGAATATGTCGCTAAAGTAAGAGAAAACACGACATTGTCTGATTTAAAGCACACTGTAAAGTAGTCTGTTTGCTCGAATATGTCGCTAAAGTAAGAGAAAACACGGCAGAATTTGAAGGAACTGCTTGTAAGACTTACAACTAAATGATGAGAAAAATGTGTTTGTAATAGTTTTATGTTGGCATACAGAGAGACAGGCAGACAGACAGGCAGGCAGGCAGACAGACAGGCAAGTAGGCAGGCAGGCAGACAGACAGACAGGCAGACAGACAGACAGACAGACAGACAGACAGACAGACAGACAGACAGACAGACAGACAGACAGACAGACAGACAGACAGACAGACAGACAGACAGACAGACAGACAGACAGACAGACAGACAGACAAGTAGGCAGGCAGGCAGGCAGGCAGACAAACAGACAGGCAGGTAAGCATGTAGGCTGGAAGGAAGGAAATCAGGCAGACAGACAAACAGACAGACAGACAGACAGGCAGACAACAGGCATACAGGCATTTAGGCAGGCAGGCAAGCATGTAGGCTGGAAGGAAGGAAATCAGACAGACAGACAGACAGACAGACAGACAGACAGACAAACAGACAGACAGACAGGCAGGCCGACAGACAGGCATACAGGGAAGTAGGCAGGCAGGCAGGCTGGTAAGCATGTAGGCTGAAAGAAAGGAAAGCAGGTAGACAGTCAGACAGACAGACAGACAGGCAGACCAGACCAGACAAGGCAGGCAGGTAAGCATGTAGGCAGGAAGGAAGGAAAGCAGGTAGGCAGCGAGATAGACAGACAGAGTAAACACACAGACCAGACAGACAGCTATGCCATAGTTTGTTTATCGAGAGAGTTTATCTCTTTTCTTGATAAGATGTAATGTGTCTTTAAAATCGCGCGATATTTACTTGTTTGGCAGGACAAACCCCTTCACGGTAGATTCTTCTAAAGGAACGGAGACAGTCAAAGATGGAACTTCTGATAGAACGTGGTACTCTACCTGCAATACATATGGTACACTATAACATTCATTTTACAGACATGCAGTTGCATCTCCGGTTACTGGATAAGGCTCAAAGCTGAAACACGTTTATTATAGAATCGAATGCTTCTATATAACACATTGTCCCACGTATAATACGGTAAACAAGTAATCACGGTAGTACAATTATCCACAGACACGCATACACACAGACAAGTCTGCCAACTGTGTTTTTCGACTAACTATGTTTAAATGTCAAGATTGGACAGAATTTCGAGATTGTACTAAATTTCGATTTCTTTGTTGTTTATTCTCTTTAGCACGACTATAATACTTTTCTATACTCCGTATGCGAGAAACTTAAAATATCGTTACAGAAATGAATAATTATCATTAAAAAAGTTTTTAAAAACCCACGTTTTCTGATTGAACTAAAAAGTAGAAAATAAATGCTATACATCACAATAATGCAAGCGATCGCTCTACTATAAGCGATGAAAAACGTGGGGCGCCGAAGTAAAAGTTTTTTATCGGTCATTGTTAATATAAGATGTAAAAGTTATATTACTATTCATTAGATAATACTATTGACTTTTATTAGGGAGCTTGTAGAGAGTCAACAGTATTAGAAACTAAGAAAATCACGGCGCCCCACGTTTTTCATCGCTTATAGTAGAGTGAGCGCTTGCATTATTGTGATGTATAGCATTTATTTTCTACTTTTTAGTTCAATCAGAAAACGTGGGTTTTTAAAAACTTTTTTTAATGATAATTATTTTCTACTTTTTAGTCTTTGTCTGTTTGCATTCAAATCTTGCTATCAATTTGATCTTCTCGCATTCACTTTTTTTTGGGGGGGTAAACGAAGACAACTCGTAAAAAACACGTGCCTTTTCCAATCGAAGTTTCTTCTGTGTTAGATTTGCATAGGTTTGTACACAAACACCGCGTGACCACTACTCAGTAAGCCAAAAGAGGGAGAGTACCGAACCTTGTTTTCATCAAATTACAATTACTGGGTTATGTCCCTTTTTCCCACGTTTTTTGTACAAATATATAGGGGTCTAAAATGATCAATAAAATGTTTCCATGGATCAATTTAGTAATAAAAACAATTGAATATTCTATTGTCATCGGAAACAAAGCTTCCCTGAAAATTTCAGCGCGCTAGCTAACTGGGAAGTGCCCGAAATTTCGATCGCAAGATTTGATTGGAGAACCAAACAAACAAACAGACGCGAAAGCAAGTTAAAGAAAACGTGGGAAAAATAACGAGCGCTGAAATTGATTCAGGCTGGTACGTTATCTCCCCTACAACATTAACCCACCTTCCAGGGGAAATAATACTCACGTCAACAGTAGCTTTCACGGCAGAGATCAATGTAGCAGACATCTTGATGTCGGCTCTACTGGGGCTAGGTCCCCAATAGAAGTAAAGCCATGGTGTTAAGTGCCCTAAAACATGAAAGCATGTCGGCCTACAAAATCTCATTGTTACTTATGTTATTATTCCACGATAACATATTAAAATTTTCATAACACCTAGATTTTTAAATAAAGTTAGAGTTAACGTATGAATGTTATGACTCATAAAACCTAGATTTTCAAATAACAATGTAAAAGTAAATACTACCATTCAATCGTATTATAAACGATCCAACACAAAAAAAAAAAAAAAAAAAAAAAAAAAAAAAAAGTAAATATAAGGAAAAAAAATTGAACATAAGAATGGCATGGCTGCTTAACCTATGCAGTTCAGCTGTGGTTAGACCACTTTTGTCAAACCTTTGTCCCATAGAAATCTCTTTCATTATGGCGGCTTCTTTTTGGACAGAGCATGACAGTGGCTATAGGTTGTGAAGTTAATGGGAACACGGTTTCTTCACGTTTTTCTGGGACTGTTTCGTCAAAGTTCTGATACAATGATTCATTTAAGATTTCAATTCGTCAAGTTTAATGCTGCCTGATTTGTCAAAGGCCTTGGAAATTAGAAATTCGTCCAGCTTTCTGGTTTTTGATAGTTTCTAAAAAGCAGGACAGAGGACTGCTGATATCTTTGGTTGGCGTCCCATACCCCAGCAGGACTCTCGAGATCTTTGGTTGGCGGCCCATAACCCAGAAGGACTCTCGAGATCTTTGGTTGGCGGCCCGTATCCCAGTAGGATAATTTCGTAAAATACGCGCCGATATGATACTTGGTCTAGAGATATATACCAAGGAATGTCGCTGTGTATGTTGTTTAGGTTTATGGTTAGTGTTGGTGTCGAATAGTGTTCGTCCAAGTGTTAGGGATTGGTGTAAGGCTAAGGTTTCGAAAAATGTGTAATGCAAGAAATAGATTAGATTGAGATTCTAATACACAAAGAATTCCTCAATTATTTTATACTTTTGATTTAGAAATATGTTACATAAATAACAATCGATATAACGATACATTTAGAACTTGTATCGTGACATACACTCGTTACACATATATTTTACCTGCAATGCAAGTGTTAGACAGTATCCAAAAGTGTAGGACTAACCAAATCATTTCAGTGTCCTTTGACTTCAATCTCATGGTGTTCATATAGTCTACAACCACTGTGAGAAACATACATTTGTTTACAATCCTCTGTCAATCTATATCAGGCAGGCACGCTCGCTGCCATGTTGGAAAGTAAAACAGATGCACACGTCTTGTTTGCGTTCACTTTGCTGCAAAAATCAATTTCTTTTTCGACTTTGGTGCGCAGTTTTGGTTACTTTCAGCAGTTTGTTAGAAAGCTGAAATCACCAGAACATCTTGTTACCTTCTTGAGATGGACATAAAACTAAAATCAAGATTTTCAGTAAGACGGACGAAATTATATATATATATATATATATATATATATATATATATATATATATATATATATATATATATATATATATATATAATATGAATGTATAAGATCCTCAGCCAAAATAGAAGAATGGAAATAAATTATTATTTATAAACAAAAAGTATCTATATTTTACTTGTCTTCCCCACACCCCCAAGTTCAAGTACACTCTGGAAGTTCAAGAAAATACCATCTCTAGAGAAGCATGCCTGAAGTACATCCTGTTAATACGTTTTGTCCTGTTGTAGTAAAGATTTTATCTACATATAGTATGATGTCCTTCTTAATAATAGATTACAGATGGGCATACTATTATATGTCCTTATTTACAGAGTTTCTTCCAGGCATCTCTTCGGGGGGGGGGGGGGGGGGGGGGGGGGCTTTGCCCCCCCACGAAAAATATTTACCGCCCCCATCCCCCCCCGAACGAAATGAAATTTATGTAATTTTTATAGAAAATATATACTTTTAACAGTGCCCGCCCCCCCCCCCCCCCCGGAGAAAGTCTACCACCCCCCCCGAAAATTTCAAGTGCCCCCCCCCCCCCCCCGGAGAAAAAAGTCTGGAAGAAACACAGCTTATTTAATATAGAGAAGTATAGATAATATGGGCATTTATTATTCTCTGTCCTGCTGAAATACATGTATACATATATATATATATATATATATATATATATATATATATATATATATATATATATATATATATATATATATATATATACGTTTAATAGCATTGTATATTAATCTCCTGCTGAAGTATAGATTCTAACATGGTATATTATTCTCTGTCCTTCGAAATAGATAATATAGCATTATTTATTGGACTCAGCCGAGCTGTAATAGTCTATGCATTATAAAGGTATAAAGGTATATATAATTCAATGTTTATTCTGAATAAGTCTACAGATTATATCGGCCATCTATATATATAATTCTCTTCTGGGAGCCGCTAGAAAACAAGCTGCAAACGCGCTCCCTACCTCCCCACCCCTACATGGTTTTAGTGAGCTGTGTTCACTCTAAATGTTGACAAGCAGAGCCAACGATTTTAAACGTAGGGGGGGGGGAGGAGGAAGGGGGGGGGGGGGGGGTTTATGGTCCTTAACGAGCTACTTATAGTGTTTTAAAGAAATATTTACAGTGGCAGCGTTGGTACTGTCGAATTCACAAATTATGAATTACTGAAAAGTAGAAAAAACAACAACTAAATAGCGGCGTATGTTATGCCGCGGGCCGGCTCGTAGTTAATAATGCTGAACCACAACAGAAGAGTAATTTACAATGCACGCCCAAGCGGAAATCACGGAATCCAAAGCCACGCGAATTCTTATAAAAGCAGGAAGTAATCATTCTAAGATGGCGGAGTTGTAAATAAAGCTAAAACTAATATTTAAAATGTTTTCATTTGTTCGATGTACAATTTTTCTTTGCCTGTATTATTCTGTTTTTAATGCAAGACTCGGTAGGTTACCATTAAGTTCCTAGTATTTGTTTTTTTAAAGTTATGTAGATCTAGTCGGTGTCACTTTTAAATGAATTTTTCGACCCCTGTTTTAGATAGAACAGAATAAGATCTAATCTAGAATAGATTAAAACCCCTTGCACGTAGGAGAAGCATGAAATGAAGAATCACATGCATTCAGAGTTGTTTGTTAGGGTTAGATGAATATAAGATAAGGGATAGGTCAAAATAATACCATAAGACTTCGACTACACCAGAGATACTTTCTGAAAGAAACTCCAAACATTGTGATAGTTATTGATATAAAATAGAGTTGCTTCACAAGGCGGAGGGGGGGGGGGCAGCATTGCGGTCGAAGTTTTAGGGCTAGGTGGTGAAATATCGAAGAATCGAAAAATATACTATCAATACAAAATCAGATAAAATAATTAGATAGAGTGAACAGAGGGGTGACACTAGATTAAAATGCAGAATTGTTGAAGGGAAGGGGGGGGGTGACACCCGCAGTTAATGTACAATGTGACTTCTGAACCAGTTTCTACTGTGAAACTTACAGAACATTTAAAAAGATACATAGCGTCTAAACCCTAGCTCTGAACAAGCTTATCGATAATTATTATTCTAACGTCGGTTAACACATTTTAAAACAAAATCTAGTTTTTACTTTAAGCTCAATACTACCTCTTGCTTAAACAACTTTCGAATTATTATTTCAACTTTTATTGTGATATTCAAATATATTTCTCTATATACTTATGTTATATATTTATATATTTTTTATTCGCATTTTTATTTATTTTACTTATTTACTTACTTTTAGTCTAATTTTTTATTTCATTTTTTTATTTAGTTAGCGATAAGGTTAATTAGTTATTTAATTATTTATTTATTGTTGATTCATTGAGTGATTCATTCATTGGTTTCTCGATTAATTTCTTGATTAATTTCTAGATTGATTTATTGATTGTTTTTTTTAAATTAATTTTTTAATTGATTTATTGATTGATTTATTGATTGATTGATTTTTTGATTGATTTCTGGAATCAATTTTTAAATAATTATTTGATATTAAGTTTGTAATAATTCTATTGATGCACTCTGTGTGACGCATACAGCCCTTGGTTGTGTCGACTCGTGGTTTGGTGACGACTGCAAGTTCCCGTGTCACTGTACGGAACAGTGCTCTCAGATATTCTCGTGTGAGTCGTGTCGTCTCGGCTGGTTCGGCGAGGTCTGCCAGTACAGTAAGACACTGTTTTTTTGTACTCACCTTTGTGCCAGTACAGTAAGACACTGTTTTTTTTATACTCACCTGTATGCCAGTACAGTAAGACACTGTTTTTATGTACTCACCTTTGTACCAGTAGACACTGTTTTTTATACTCACCTGTATGCCAGTACAGTAAGACTCTTTTTTTTATACTCACCTTTGTGCCAGTACAGTAAGACACTGTTTTTTTATACTCACCTTTGTGCCAGTACAGTAAGACACTGTTTTTTTATACTCACCTTTGTGCCAGTACAGTAAGACACTGTTTTTTATACTCGCCTGTATGCCAGTACAGTAAGACACTGTTTTTATGTACTCACCTTTGTACCAGTACAGTAAGACACTGTTTTTTTATACTCACCTTTGTGCCAGTACAGTAAGAGACTGTTTTTTTATACTCACCTTTGTGCCAGTACAGTAAGACACTGTTTTTTTTAAAACTCACCTGTATGCCAGTACAGTAAGACACTGTTTTTTTTAAAACTCACCTGTATGCCAGTACAGTAAGACACTGTTTTTTTATACTCACCTTTGTGCCAGTACAGTAAGACACTGTTTTTTTTAAACTCACCTGTATGCCAGTACAGTAAGACACTGTTTTTATGTACTCACCTTTGTACCAGTACAGTAAGACACTGTTTTTTTTATACTCACCTGTATGCCAGTAAAGTAAGACACTGTTTTTTATACTCACCTGTATGCCAGTACAGTAAGACACTGTTTTTATGTACTCACCTTTGTACCAGTAGACACTGTTTTTTTATACTCACCTTTGTGCCAGTACAGTAAGACACTGTTTTTTTAAAACTCACCTGTATGCCAGTACAGTAAGACACTGTTTTTATGTACTCACCTTTGTACCAGTAGACACTGTTTTTTTATACTCACCTGTATGCCAGTACAGTAAGACACTGTTTTTTATACTCACCTGTATGCCAGTACAGTAAGACACTGGTTTTTTGTACACACCTTTGTGCCAGTACAGTAAGACACTGTTTTTTTATACTCACCTTTGTGCCAGTACAGTAAGACACTGTTTTTTTATACTCACCTTTGTGCCAGTACAGTAAGACACTGTTTTTTTATACTCACCTTTGTGCCAGTACAGTAAGACCCTGTTTTTTTTAAAACTCACCTGTATGCCAGTACAGTAAGACACTGTTTTTTTTAAAACTCACCTGTATGCCAGTACAGTAAGACACTGTTTTTTTATACTCACCTTTGTGCCAGTACAGTAAGACACTGTTTTTTATACTCACCTGTATGCCAGTACAGTAAGACACTGGTTTTTTGTACACACCTTTGTGCCAGTACAGTAAGACACTGTTTTTTTATACTCACCTTTGTGCCAGTACAGTAAGACACTGTTTTTTTATACTCACCTTTGTGCCAGTACAGTAAGATACTGTTTTTTTATACTCACCTTTGTGCCAGTACAGTAAGACACTGTTTTTTATACTCACATGTATGCCAGTACAGTAAGACACTGGTTTTTTGTACACACCTTTGTGCCAGTACAGTAAGACACTGTTTTTTTTAAAACTCACCTGTATGCCAGTACAGTAAGACACTGGTTTTTTGTACACACCTTTGTGCCAGTACAGTAAGACACTGTTTTTTTAAAACTCACCTGTATGCCAGTACAGTAAGACACTGTTTTTTTGTATTCACCTTTGTGCCAGTACAGTAAGACACTGTTTTTTTTTAAACCAACGACAAACATATGTTTTACATACAGAACTGAGCTTTATATAGTAGATATATATATATATATATATAAATATATATATATATATATATATATATATATATATATATATATATATATATATATATAATATATATATACATCAAATATATTCAATACTGATCTTTTTAGAGTTTACTATTGTGTTTATAATATTCAATAATGTTAAATGGTTATTAAATAGTATGCACCTTTTATGGATTCTCCTCCTTATACTCACATATAATACAAAAAAGTTATAGAACCTATAGCTTTACTACAG